TAAGAATCAGCTCGATTTACCGGATATTAGCTTTACGAAGCCTGTCGTATTAGTTTCAATAATCAGAATCTGAGCCAATTATTCTCGATTTCGTTCGCATTATTGACCACATGTTTCATAAACCAAAAAAAAGCTTTCTATCAAATATTGGGAATTTGCCTCGGCAGACTTCCTCTTCTCAGTCTATCTTTCACCATCGAGAGGAGAATAATACTTGACTCTAGTTGAAGAAGGATGTTTCACATTCGAAATACTTTCATGTGTGATGATGCGAGTGAAGCGGTTACTCTCCTATGATTTGTTTGCGTTTTACATCTTTTTCAAGCATGTCTTACAAGATAGGAGAAAACTTATCCGCTGAAATACCAGCATAATAGTACAATGTTTTGTACATACTTATGCACGATTCTCTAAAAAAGCTTTCAGCGCAATCCCTGTAGGATTAAAATGTGAAACACGATGGAACTGTTTTAACCTTGCAGAAACCTTGCTATATCTATCGCAGTCCGTTAGAGACTATATAAGGTCCACATGTCAGAAATTCATCTTACTGTCACATACTACGAAATATATGTCTCAACACTCTTTAAGGCATCACAGACTGTGATAGACATTTTGACACGTCTATCATGATCTATGACGAGGTCGATGAGTACACGAGTCAGTCATGGTTCGCAGGCAGGGTAGGAAGGTTTATTTTTCTACCTCTATACTTCAACATTTATTTTCAATCGTGCTTCACAAAAGTATGAGTCCTCTGCCTACGATTCTCTTGTCTCGCACGCCACTTACACAAACGAAAAGAAACGAATAAAAGAAGTAATTCTTCGAAAGTACATTGCTTATAAAAACCGAAATTACAAGCAACATCACAAAATGGTTGAATTGTTTCTTTTTTGTCTTTTAGATGACATTCATTCCTAAAGACAGATTACCATCTGACAGTGTTCAGGATTTGTCTGCATATTGAGGAAAACATTGTTGAACAAACTCAAATTTCTTCATTACATAGAAAAAAGTAATTGGAGACGATCTTGAAAGATCGAAACCTTCTATCGAGAAGAGTAACCCTTTCCTTTTTCGTAAGTAATACATCGGTAAATACGGTGCCGCTTAAGCGTCGGGCTATTTTCTTTTTTTTATAAAGGCAAAAGATCGTTTTTTTTTTATATCGATCTACAGGATCGCGATCATTTTTGATTGGAATTTCACGGAACAATATTACTTTATTATATCGAACTAGAGAAAAAAACAAAGGTGAAATGTACGTTCGATGAAGTCAAAAATCTTCACAAGTGAGAACTAAGTCGAGACCGTGGTATTCTCTTAAAATAGTCGATACCGGTGAATGGATAGAATGGGCAAATGGGTTCAACATTGATTCCACAAACGTGAAGCACCCACCAAACGAAAGAGTTACTGTTCGGACCCAAAAGGAAGTGATAAGGAACTTGAGCAAGATTGTAAACGTTGGTTTGTTCCCGTAAACATAGTATGAGACGTTTACAGTGCTTAGTTGGCACGATCCATTGCGAGCCTCTATGTTCCCAGTTCTGGTCTTTTACAAGCGCCCACGATTCTCCACCATTTGCCACATTATCGCCTATATGGCCACCTTCGACTAAACCATAGTTTTCTGAATTTTCAAAAATGTTGATGTATAAGTGATGAAAGCCGAGCAGATAGAAAGCTCGTTCTTTCATATTCAAATTACTACCAATCCGCCTTGCTCCAAGAATTACAGTGCACACATCGAGTGCGTCTGATCGAACGCTATTGTTTATGTGTGGCGACCAAGAGAAACTGATTTCGGAAGTCACTTTGACATATGTCCACATTAGAAACGCCACAATAAAAGAGATAAAAAGAAAGAAAACAGTGAGTATCTTCATATATTCATCTACAAAACATTGTCAAATGTCGATGAATTTGATACAAGAAAAAACTAGTTGAATCAAAAATGAAAACATTCACATTATTACAAAAGGTCATGAATCAGTTGAACTTATGTTTATCATGACGACTTTGATGCCTTGCATTCTATAGCAACATCAGAAGGTTGTCGACACTTTCCTAACCGTTCACAGGGTGCAGTGCATCCTGCTTGGCATGAGCCTCCGATGCAAGTCCATGATCCATAGTATTCTTTGACAACTGTCCCATTGCGAACCGTGTCGCCGTAACAACTACATTTGCATCCGATACAGTCGCCACTGAATGAACCAGCCGACGACACCACATTTTCGACCCACAGTAAGGCTAACATTACGATGAACAAGAAACCGATTGTGTTTTTCGTTAACATAAATTAGTTGATTTCGTGATTGATGTGCTGCTGTTGGTTTGAGTGATCGAGTCGTAATGGGCAACTCAATGCCTTTTATATTTTGGTTGTTTTTGTCATGACTGATAGAGAATCTTAGTTGTAAGTTGATCTAGAAAAGCATTTTGCATGTATTCGAATGCAAATAATTATTTTGAAATACGAGAGAAGTTAATTTGTTTTTGACTTCGCGATGAATCACTCTCCTAATAATTTTCATCAAGTCTGCATTCGTTGTTGCTATCTGACATCTCATGTTTTCATAGGGAATCATATGCAAAGATGCTGTGTCGAGAATTCTCGTGATAAATATATTGATCAGAGTCTTTATTTTCTCTCAGATAGGATTTTGTACAAGGTCAAATCAGCAATTTCTGATTTTGACGATTTCAATGACTTCGATGATTGCGATGATTTTTCTCATGCTAAATAATTCACTGTAACTTTCAGCAAATTTGTTATTTTCATAGACACCCTATCGACTGAAGATATTCCTTTTGAGGTTATTCTAAAAGTGTGTTGAACATGTCAGTTTTCATATGAAGAAATTGCTAAAACTTCATGTTTTTGATTATATTTCATTAGAGCACTTGGTTAATATTGACAAGAAAAAGAAACAATCAGTCAAACTGAGCTACTCAGATTTCGTCTCTAAGAAATTCATTTATGAGTCGAAACTAGTAAAAAAGAGTATTCTTTAATAGAGCAAAGCTTTTCTTTTGATTTGGTCCTTGTTCTTGTTCGTCTTTAGACAAACAAAGTTTTGTGCTGAGGGAGCTTGCTTAGCCATCTGAAACAGACAGAGACATAGATCATATGATGTGGAATTTGATTTTGTGGCAAAAGCGAATTCTTTGAAAGAACATCTATTTGTAACAAAATAGTGATATAGAGGTATTAGCGGTATATGCGATGCATCGGCATGGCGGTATACAAGACTCACATATTTATTCTTTTTTCAAACGTGACATTTAAATAGTCAATGAATTGTTTTCATAAAATATATGGTATATTAGCGACCATGTTTGATATACAATGTTCATTGACAAATTATCAAACTTCAAAACATTGGTATTGCCATATAGATCGAGGTGAGAATTTTCAAAAGCTCATTTAATTTGGTATTAAGATCTCTGAAGTGTTTAGTAAAATCTTTATTTTTTCCATCTACTGAATAGTCATTCAAACTTTTGTATTGTATAAAAAAAACCATATTTCTCCGAGACATCTCGAAAGTAGGGTGTGTTGATAGTTGAACAACACAGTGCTCAGCTCTGCAAGACATGTCACATCATGTTACTTGATCAGAAAAAGTTTCTTGTGAAATCAAAAACATGCTCACGAGGCCTTTCATGGCCATTTTTCATTAATAATTTCTAGCTCATACATCCAATCATATTTCTTTTCTAGTAACGCTAATTCACCAGCTAATGATTGATTTGTTCTGAAAATTATTTCATGAATATTAAAAACCAGGTTTGGTACCAAGATAAATCATCAGTTTGCAAAAGATGGAATTAAGAATTTCTATCCAACAGGTAAGGTTTTATCGTCTTTCTGAAACCGTTGGATGATCTAATAAGAATCTGATTTTTACATGGCGGTGTAATTGATCAATATCGAATAAATTTCTCTTGTAGAATAGATTTCAGTTTTACATAAGGACTATATCACAGGTAGAAAGAAAAACCAAATTAAAAAATTACGAAGTAGACAAATGTCATACACAATATTTGGTCTGATATTTTCATCACGATGCGTTTAGCAAAAAGGGCTATTTGTACATTGGTATATTGCAACGCAGTACAAATCCAAAACAAAACACTATTTTCTATATAAAGAACGTTTCACAGTTTCGACTACTCTAAGTGGGAGTCACTGTGAACAACCACAAACACTTTAGGATGCAGACTTAGCACATGATGCAAGTAATTGAACTAACTCCTACATTAACGTTCAGTGAGTGCTTTACTTCTAAGTGCCAGCATTAAGTGAAATCAACATACTAATTTAACCTATGTTACCACAGATAGGAAATGAATCCTGCAGGGAGGCATTAACCTAATATATTTTCTCAGATCTATTTATTGAAAATCCTACACGAGGCATCAAAGTTCACATATCAATCTTCAGGATGGTCCAGAAGTAATTGGCCATCAAAAGTATCCTATAATAACTGATGATAAATTGTTAATGATACTTTTCATACTTTTGTTTGATGTAGAGAGCTGAAACTTCCAGTAAATGAAGATCTTCCTTGGATATATATGTGATAAAAGGGTGTAGGTGTGGGTGTGGGGTGTGGGTGGGTGTGGGGGTGGGGGTGGGTGTGGGGATGGGTGTGGGTGTGGGTGGGTGTGGGTGTGGGTTTGTGGGTGTGGGGTGTGGGGTGTGGGTGTGGGATGGGGTGTGGGTAGTTATGGCTGTGGGTGTAGGTGATGTTGAAGCACATCCAGACCCGCACCCTAGTATTTTGTCTGCATGTATGTCTCTCTCAAACCTTGAATCACTTCCAAATGAAATATTGATAGATATTATTGTGAAATACATTAATGGAGTGGATATGTTAACAACGTGTGGGTTTCAACTCAATGAACGTTTTATTTCACTCGTTAAACGATGTCAAGGACTTCGTTTTGGTTTTATTTCATATCGCAAAGACGATTTTCGATTCTGCATGAATCTTTTACCAGCCTATATCGATAAAATCGAAGGATTTTTCATGTCAGAACAAGACACACCTGGTCAAGTGTGTGCTTTCGTTTCTTTTTTTCCATCATTTGAATCATTTAAACAAGTTCGAGCACTTTATCTTCACTTTAATGGTAAAGCTATCGATTGGCAGATTGTTGAAAGAGCTCTTGAATCTTTATCAGAAACAACATTTAACACTTTACCGATTAAAGCAACGAATACAGACAACAAATCTTCACTAGGAAATGCTATTATTGATCTTTTTCACATAAAAACACTCAGACAGTTTTCTCTTATGAGCAAAATTGATTGTATAAATTGGAGTGATTTGGCGAAGATCACGTCAATTATTAAACATTTGACGATTTCTGGTATATATTTTTGATTTCAAGATCTACAATACATTTTCAAATGTGCTCCTCATCTTAAATATCTTGATATTGACTTAATTAATGTAACATTTTCTTATCATAATGAAGCAGAAACGAAACAAATAGGGAATATAATACCAACATCTACACTTCGTACACTGACCTCATATTTTCAACGAGACAGTTCAATAACAATGGATATGTTAACAGAATATTTCAATTGTATGCCTTATTTAAAGCATCTTGAAATTAAAGCACATAATAAACTTCTTGATGGAAATGCATGGAAGATCTTGTTGGAAACATATTTACCATTACTAACTCATTTTACTCTTCGAATGACTACATTTCGTATAGAAGAAGTTGATCTTCACAATGGGCTCACTTCATTTCAAAGTTCTTATTGGTTATCGAAAAAGAACTTCAATATAATAATAACTAAACATGAATACTTAGATATTGATGGCTTCAGTATAGATAAAATGAAACACAATATTCAATATGAATTTGATTGGCCTGCTATTCAATGTTGAATAGCACCACAAACGCACTGGTAATAATAATAATCTTATGATAGTAAATAAACAGATAAATATGAGAGTTGACGATATGAATAGTTCTGTATCATGTCATTACTAGTTCGATAATGTAAAATGTCTTATAGTTGATAAGATGAATGGTTTGATAGTCATATGGGTGAAAACGCATGTAAATTATTCTCAAATCAGGCAACTCACTATTATACGCTCGGAGGAAAACACCGAGGCATTAGTTGCATTTCTAGCATCTCTTATGTATATGAGCTTACTTTATACAACTTTTGATCTACTTTTTACAAATATGCATGCTTTCATGAGAAAAAGTAATTGTATAAAACAACTTGATATTTCTCGTTCGGAGCATCTATTCAATGAAGAAGATATTATTATTATTGGCAAGTGCTTTCCTTATATTGAACAAATAAAATCAATACATCAAGTTTACGTAATGTTCCACTATTGAAGAAATATTTAGTACATCTTCGTAGTCTTTCTGCTGTTATTTCAATAAATTGTAGTGGTTTTTTTAATAGTTATGACAGAAGAAAATGAATATATGACGTGCAACGATAAATTAAATTTTTATTCCAGATCAAAATGATGTAATGACAGTTTGGTTTGACCAAGCTGCATTCGAAGAACCATTCTGGCAAACATTTGTCGCAAAGCCATCAGAATCAACGGCTTAGTCAGTTCTAACTTTAACTTCGTACATTCAGAAAAAGAAGTCAAACATTTGTTTAAATTTGTTCAAATAAAAGTACTTAATCTTGTGCATCTTACCAGTACTTGTATTCATTATTGTAAAAATTATGATTTCCCATAGATAGATGTGTAGATGTGGGTATAAGATGATATAACACCCACATCAACATCCTCGAAGAGTTTTGAGACTTTCGAAAAATATTGCATATCAAACTCCTTTATGTATTATACTAGAAAACATTTTGTTTTTTTTATAAGAAACATAAGAGAAGATCTCGTTTCTGCGATATTGCTATTTTATGGTATTGAGTAAAAAATCATTCTGAGAGCTTCATTATTGAATAAATGTTGTCATCTTTTACAGTCACTATAAATATTTATTATATTCTATACGTGAATATTTGTACGTACATTGATTTTTTTTTTATTGTTTATATTTATTTTACTCTTAGACAATAATAACAGTTTTACCTGTGATAAGAAACAATGATAGAAATCAATAAAAATAATTTAGTTCTTTCTACTGGAAAGAAATGTTCATGATTGCAATCCTGTACTGACTTCACTTGGAATTATATTCAAAGGATGAATTCGATTTTCATTTGAATTAAACCATTGTCTTAACGATGGCCACCATATCTTTATAAACAAGTATTTTACTTGATGCCGAAATCGTGATGATGTCGCAAAAAATATATAAAAGTTCAACTATGAAAATAATTATTCTAAACGTTTAAATAAAAGGAATAATAATAATAATAATAGTAAGCTTACAGCATAGTTAGAAATCATTATTAATGCAACGATTGTTGTAATTAATTGAACTATCGCATATTGAAGACTACAAACTGGATATGCAGTGTTTTTGACTGCATAGATTCGATATAGTGTGAATGATAATAGAACAGCAACAAACATAATGACTCGGAACAAGATCATTGCTGTCAACTGCTGATCAAGTTTTCGACGTTGAATTGATACTTGTTGTCGAATTATACGACGAACATTGCGATAGGCTAATAAACTGAATGTGGCTGAAGTTGAAATTGGTAGACATCCATTTAAAAAAATATAATAAACAAAAGAATAATAATATTTCAAATCTTCATTAATTATTATACAACCAAATGGAGAAACAATAGTATAAAAAATAATATAAGGTGTTGCCTGTAAAATGCATAAAATACTTGCTATAATGATTGAATAACGTGCAAATTTTAAGGTGCTCATTTGTCGGAAATAAAGACGAGGATTAGTTAAAAAATATTGGTCTAATGCTTCAAAACATACTATAAAATCAATTAGAAGTCGAAATGATTGACCCAATGTCGTTTTTATTTTACAAAAAAAAGAGAGATATTTGCAGGATCAGTTTGATACATTAATTGAAATATTTGAGGAATACATAATTGAATAAATATATATATATATATGCTGATAATAGATTCGACAATTAAGTAATAAGCACAACGATTACCTTTGAAAAGTTTCACTTTAGTAAATACAAAAATATTGAGAGTATTATCAACAAGAGCAGCAAGAAAAATAATAAATAAGCCATATAAATTTAATTTTTGTGCGATGTCAATAATCTTTAGAGGAACTGACGACGAGGGCATTGTATTTTTTTGTAATGAATGTGAATAAAATTTTTCTTTTTTTTTTTCAATCTTTCTTTATTTTTTTTTATCAACTTTATATGATAGATTAAATTGCTAAAAAACATAGAAAAAAAAGCTACGAATCACGATGCCACGATTGGATAATGCAACAGTGCTATAAGACATTAGCAAGAAAAAGAGAGATGCGTATAAGTTAAATTACAAAAAGATTAATAAACATAATAAGATTTAGTTTATAATACAATAGAATGTAGTTGCCCATATCTATCTTCATTTTTTGTTTTATTCTACTGAACTTTCCTTCTCGTTATTCTTAACTACTGGTACAAATAGAATATGGTGAATATGTAATTGTTATATCTTCTTAAGTTAGTAGAGCTAAACTGAGTGAAGAAGTGAATTGTAATTTATTATTTTCACGCTTGCTATTTTCTAAATGAGAAAAAAAGCTACACTAATTTCTATTATAATTTGAAAACTCTTTACGAGGATCAAAGATTAGATTTACTTCAACAATAAATCGACTTTCTCAATCCTGATTGACAAATAGTGAGTTGAACACAAAAAGTCATTAGATAAGACAAGCTCGAAAAAGCTTACGTAACTATTGGTAACATAAATATAATCATTAAAGAAATGAACATAGAATTAGTTAGATGATTACATCTATGGTCAAATAACTACCATCTCATACGATTAAGATATTTGAATTAAGCATATATATATTTCAAGTAAAATGATAACGATAAATTGTGACTTACGATATAAAAAAGAAAAAGAAATAGTAGAAATGATTGTTGTTTGCTGTCTCTCATTTCTTATAAATATGGTATTATAATAGTCCTCTACTTTTAACTGTACTTTCCATTCTATTGCTATGTATTATCTTCCAGATTTCTCTGCGCAACTCTCTTTTAGAAATAATTTATATCGACTTGTTCAAGTGTAACTTGATGAAATTTTAGTCAAGCTATTCTTGTTGGATGACCCACCGCTGTCTTGCATTGAAACTCTACAAATATGAGCTCATTTGAATGGACAACTTGGAAATTATCATAAAAACGCAGACACCATAAAACGATGATTAAAAAAAATGAGAATCTAAGTGTTTAATTTAGTTTTTTAATAGGTTTCCTTTTTCTATAATCATAATCTCAGTCAAAATCATAAGAAAAAGCAACAAATGAATCATTAGATCCATCAATGTGTGTGCAATGAATGAATTATAAGAGATTAGCTGTTTTATCATTTACTTTCTGTATTTCATTGAAAGCTTTTTCTAAATATGAGTGCATTATAGAATACAATGAAGTGAGCCTTTTATTTTGCCATTAACAATGCTATTTCAGATATACGTCTTTTGCCTTGTGATTAAATGAAAGTTAAGTGAAATATTTTTTTTTTATAATTTTACAAAAAGGAGCACGTTTAGTTAGGTCACACTATAGTTATACGCCGTCGAATAAAAAACATTATACATTGTTGCTTCATTTTATTGCATACATTTGCTAATAGTATTTCAACCCAAATACCTTACATTATTGAAGATAAAAATGTTGAGAAGCTATAGTTAGTGATCGATGAACTATGCCAATTTTTGTAAATTCGACTTCGTATTTTGTGTTTCAATTCTCATCTATCATGTTTTCATTATTGCTGTGAATATTAAAGTTCTTAAGGTTCAACCTTCTTTTCATAGAGGAATAAGTTTGCAGTACTCAGTGTAGACGCAGTGAAGGACTGTACATCCACACTCATGATGAATAATACTATATGTCTAATAACATTTGTATTTGTCGAGAATCTTGAATTTTGTGAGAAACATATGTTCATTTCTCAGTTTTCGCAAACATAAAACATGTGATATTGGCTCTGATATTTAGTTGGTAACGTCGTCAACCCTATCGATAATTCGTATGACCATATTTATGACTAAAATCGGTCTTCACATTGAATTGCAAATGTGTTTTATTCCTAATTATTATATGTATAGTGATCGGATTGAAAAATGAATATTTCAAAAGGGATTTATTGTGATAAAACTAAAAATAGTAAAGTTGCTAAACAGATGATTGTAATTGTTTCTCTTTTAATATATACAAATTTATACGATTCAATTCATCGTTTTCTTCTCGATGATTGCAAATGTAATATTCATTATTGGTATAAATTTTATGATTAGTTCATTCAATTTGTACGCAAGAAACAAAAATCATTTTCAAACAGTTATGCAACAGAGCTTCCTATCTTAATCATGGAATAAGAACGAAAGAGCATTTTTGGCTAGATTTGTTTCAGTGAATTCCTTCCTGTATGTTGTTGATGGCATTACATAAAGAATGAAGCCGAGTATCTGTGGAGAAAAAGAAAGAAGATAAGTGCCAAGCAAAGCGTGCCTTTGCCAGTCAGTTAATTGATTACAGGCTAAGCTAAAGGTGAATACAGCTTGAGGCAGAACCGAAAGAATGATGATGATAGGAGTGATATAGAGTTCTTTTTGAGTTTGTATTTCTTTTTTGATTACTTGTCCAAATGTCACTGTTCGATTGACTGTTCTTACTCGACTATTGGCGATCATTATAATCAAAACTGTCACTGACACTACTTGAAGGATAAATGGAAGCAAATGATGAATGAGTGTCGAAATTCGATTGTAGGTTAAAATTACAGGATGACTGAAGCTGATTACGCAAGTTGACAATTTGTCGTCATCGTATTCAATCATGGTGTAACAAACAATTTCATGAGCATGCAGGATGAAAAGAGCCAGTAACGTGAAGACATTAATTTTGATAGATAAACGAGCATTTTTTAATGTTGTTGACATCGGAAAGCAGATGATTAGCAGTCGATCGATGGTCACCCAACTTGTTAACCAATACGTCGATCGTGTCGAAACTGAAAGAATGTAGGAGATTCCTTTGCAAATGTGAAATTGATTGATATTCATCATTATTTGAATTAGTTTCGTTAATAAACAAAATAAGACGATTTGATTGAGACAAGAGACAGTAAACAAATAGTTTCCGACACCGAATTGTCGAGGCTTAGGACGTTTAAAAGTAAAAATAGAACAAAGATTATTAAAGAGACCAATCATGACTAGAAGAAAAGTGATAGAAAAATAGATACACTTCGTTTGTTTCGAATAGTTGGTCATTAGTGAATCAACCGTGAAACCAAATGGTTCTAAGCTAAATTCACATCGACGTCCTTGATAACATGGCGGACAAAGACAAATAAAATCGTTCACATCTTTTTGATCGCCTTGTAGACATCGTCCTCCTGCCAGACATCGATCGCATTGATCTAATTGACTATCATAACTAAAGCAGTCTGCACGATAGTGATCATCTTGACAGACACAAAGATAATTTTGATCGTAGAAACAGAACCGTTCGGTATCATTACGACAAATCTGATGATAGTGAAAAATGTCTGGAACAGATCTATCTACAGCTAAAAGAGAGAAAAAATATTCATTATCGTAATCAACGATGACCTATTACTTACCTTTTGAGAATAATGATTCGACATGTGGGCACAGCTGAGGTGACGAACGAATATCAATCGTCATTTTATTCAAGATGTACATAATGAAATAGGAAACATGTGCTTTGTCTTCATACAGTTTAAGCAGACCGATGATAGGTCCATGAGTACCAGAATGATCATAGTAAATGACCGACGGTAAACTATGATGAACTTGCTGGTTTTGGCAAATCAGTCGGAAGTAATCAGCAATGTTGTATAATTGCACAACAGAAGCTTGAATTGACAGATTCATTATCATGTTCAATTCTACGCGTACTGATGCTTTCGAATATTCACATCGATTGCCATAGAAACGGTCTGTACAGATGCACAGATACGATATTTCTTCACTGAGATCATACTTCAGATGGCAACTACCATTGTTCAAGCAAGGGTTCGAAATGCAAGCATCCGAGTTTATGTAGCAAGTTGGTCCGAAACGATGCAGCGGACATAGACAGTAGAAATTCGGCTGTCGTACAGCACAAAATGCATCATGTGAACATTCGATGTTACAACGTGGTTCGTATAGCGAACAATTGACTCCATAGTAACCTGTTTTACATGAACAAAAATACGAATCATTTCGATTAAATATTGGCAAATAGGTAGAATTCTCATTACAATGATGTTTTGAGTCATTATAGTGAGTCGTATTTGCAAACCAAGCAGGAAACTTCAATACCAGAGCTATGCGAAAGGCAGGTAGAAAGTCGAAATATATCGGATAATGCCATGAGCCCAGCGCATCAATCATAGTATTATTTTCTAGAGAGAAAAGATCGAAATGAACAGAATATGGATGATTCAAAGTGACATCAGTTCGATTATGAAAACGCGCTCGTTTGTGTTCGAGCATGGTATCCATCCGAGAATAGACTAGATAAAATTTATGTTTGATTATTTGATCTCTTTCGATCCGGGGCACAATGGTTAATGTATGATGATCGAACGTTATACTTTCAAACCACATAGTGACCAGGATTCGTAGTGTCACATTCGAAATTCTGGTCGGCATCGTTTTTCGATCAACATGTAAAATAAAACTAATGCGATCACTGAAAAATTCACACCAACTACCGTAATAAGCCGGAGGACATAGACATCGGGTTTCATTTTTTTCTAAAATGGCTACACCACGATTGCATCGATATGAATAGGCGTTCCAAGTCGAATCCTGATCACTACTGATATTTGTCTCTTCGTTCGTTTCTGCCATATGTTCAGGTGGATACCAGGGTGGAAGTATATAATCCGAACGCTGTAATGATAATTTCCTTTTGTCCGCTCGATATTCAATTCGATTTTGGATCGATCCTGTCGGACACCAATATTCATCCTCACCATACGAACACTCACGGATGCCATTACATCGACCATTTTCGATGCACTGGCTATTGTTGAGACAAATGAAATCATAGATATTTGAACATGATCCATCTTTGTCTAGATAGATTGAGCAAACTATATCCGTACAATTCTGATCTAAGCCCGAATCACATGCATCGACATAGTTCTTATGCTTGATGCCGCAACGAAAATGAAAACCCCAAATATCACCTGAGCCAGCATTTGCAGAAAATGTATTTTTCTCGTCATAAGCATTGTAACAATGTTCTTTATTATCGCCAATTTGTGTGAGATTAATGCATGGACGATTAATTTCAATATTCAATGGATCGGTTACATTTGCTCGATAACATCCAAATTCGAAAGAAATATTACAAATCGTCGAGAACGGTGCTTGCAGATAATATTCTCGACATTGTTGACGACGACGATCTATATCAGGCAAACGAGCGTTATGAGGCGACCATTCGTCGATGAGTAGAATTCCTTCTTCATCTGACGCATCAGCACAATCCCATTCACCATCACAAACCCACTCAAGATCAATACATTGTCCTGATCGACATTGATATTGATCTCGATGATTTTGACAAACCCAATATTGGCATGACGAATGGATTTCATCGGTATGATTGGCTAAATTCCACCAACTATCACAATACCAACGAAAAACCATCCATTTTCTGTGCAAAGCTGCATCCATGATGTCATTATTTAAAGTCCAGTTTCTAATTGATGATTTTCGAATGTATTCTTTTGCATTAGAGCAACTTTCTTTGTCATATTTTCTACATGGTAATTGTGTTTGAAGTGGTGCATCTGTACCATACCACATTTCATCATAGCTGTTTGAACATTCGGTTGTTGCTGAACCCAAGTAGATCAATGGAAGACATTGGTTTTTGTCATTGTAACACTGAAAACGTTGTCGACCAACGTTACCTGTACAAAAATTCTTCTCAACAATTTTCAGTTCATCTTCACCTTTTAGACAATCGTATGACCGATCACGAATTCGATATTGTGAAATGCATTCACCTGCTTCATCGCACATATCAAGTTGAACTGCATAGGGACGACCATTGAAAGTTAAGGAATCATTCCAACAGAATGGATCATGTCGAAATGAGGAGTTTGGATTCCGAAATCCGACATTCGAATCATTCAACGTACAAAGTACATGATTCGATCGAGCAGTGGTCAGAATTCCATGTTCAAACGGTATAATATATGGTTCATGAGCCTCAAAAACAAAGCCTCGACATCGTTGATTTCGATGTAATGCAAATATTTGGAAATTGGGGTTATCCGTCGACTCGCTTAGATTATAAAAAAACAAAACATTCGAATTGATCAATCCCTCAGGTGGATAAAGAATCAATCGATCATCTCTCGGACATATATCTATTAGCATTGATGTACAGTTGAGACGATTACATGGACAATCATATTCAAAACCGTTGGATAGCAAACATCGAAATAAGTATTGACAAATTTCTTCATCAGTCATATTTCTAGACGGATAACGATAATCATCATAGTTTGGATCTGGCCAACAAAGTCCATTGTCCAATGTCCAAGTTGATCGATGTGGACCAGCTTCGCACATGTAATTTAGATTGCGTTTGGTAAAACAATCATCTTCAGCTAGTCCATATCGTTGAAATGCTAAGCGTGTATGCCAATTGATACATTCCCCATCACCACAAGAGTACATACCTGATACACATAAATGTTCATCGCATTCGATTGAATTCGGCTTGAACGAACACCATTGACCATAACCTTGAAAATATTCATCACTCCAATCCATACAGTCGTAGTCACCTATTAATAAACTTCAGATATGTATAAATGAGAAACATTATGAAAGTCATCGTATACTAACCATCCAGCCAGAATTCTTCGGCAATGCACATACCATTGGTGCATCGAAATTCGTCATTTTCACATTCATTGAATTCGAGTTTATCCCAATTTTCTTCATCGATTCCATTCAGACATCTAGAAAAACCATCACATATTTCTCGCCAATCGAGACATAGATCTCCTGAATAACAGGGTAAAGTTTCATAGCAAATAATCTTTCCATAGCGTTGGGTATTCCATGAATTAAGTAAGTTTTTTTGTCCGAACTGGATTTCAATGGTTTCTGCGAATGATTTTGCTTCATGTGTCAATTGATATTCACAATATTTGCCAAATGTTCCTGGTTTTATACAGTTACATACAAATTCATCGTCGTTCATTAATGAATGATTGTAGAAGAATCTAGCATATCGATCAACCATCTCTACACTGGAGCTCCATTTGAGAATATCATTCGGATGGATATTTTGAGCGATTAGATCATGAAATCGTTTCAATTCTCCCTGATTATCACATTCTGTTCGATTTCGATTAAGTAGTTGGCTACGACGCGGACGCCGGCAATAGGCAATCTCAACTCCAACTTCATAATTGTAATAGATGCAATCAAATTTTTCAAAAACTGGCTTATTTTCCGTATTATAAAGTAGAATGTAACTTAACGTTTCCATCAACATAAGAAAAAAACTGACGACTATAGATAACAACATCAGTGTATACTTTCACTTTGAAAACACTTCTACTTGCCAGGGAAAAACTACAAATGAATGGAATAATAAAAGTTGAAGTTGAAGTTAACTTTTCTTCTCGGATATTGACAAGCTCTAAAATTTTATTTGTCAATATTCTAATGAAGTATTCAATTGACATAATTACACAATCTGTTGTTCTATTTCAATCTCATCCTAAATAACAGAACAAATATTACAAGTGACATTTCGAGTGCAATATGTCAATCCTCATGTTGGGAATAAACTCAAATTTATTACATCATCGATTCTATATTGATACGATAGTGACTCTTGAATATGACAGAATCTGGTTTTCTTTTTCTTGTTCTGACAGATTGAGGGTGGACATATGGATTTTGTTTTGTTCTATTCTGAATAGATTTTAAGTGAGAAAAGATCGAACTTGATCTTAAAGAAGCACCAAAGAGTACGAACATCGGCTGTTCATTTGCAAGCATGACTTTTCTAGAACTTATGAGAGCAATATTCGAATTTTCTCACAACTCTTAGTATTTATCGGCAGATTAAGGATTGGTCTACAAAATGACGAAAACCGAAGATTAATAGCTACATCGCTTTTGGAGTTCTTCGAAATGTGCCCGTTCGTTATTTCATAATTCATTGATACATCTGGATGCGAGTGCGGGTATGGGTAAATATAGCTGTGGATATAGGTGAGAAGAAGATTAACACTCACATCCACCCTATTATTGTTCATTTCAGAGTTAAATGATCGTAAACATTTTTTCACTAACTTTTGATCGACTCAGGCTATCAAGCCCGGCGTTATGTACTTGAAAAGAGCAGAATATAATTCTTATTTTTGTGTAAATCATTCCAGTATATAGACGCCTTTTTACAACTGTATCCATGTCGCTGTATTGTTTTTCTGTTTTTGCAACAAGTTTTGTCGACATTCCATTTCCCATTATATCATATTGTAGCTACAGTTCCGCTTAATATACGGTAAAATTTTGACATCGTC